AAATCAATCCCGCAGTTTAGGTAGTAATAATGATTGATTGAAGGAAAGTTGGATGAACCAAAGAACGAAATTATGGGTGCAATTTGAGATTTGTTAATTTAACCTGTTGTTTTTTATTGCAAAAAAAAGTAGTTGATGTGTAAACAACCTCGATTTGGTCCAACCGCCTTTGAATCGTCCTTAAACTGCTAGATTGACATTCAAAATAGTAAAACTAGGGCTGCAAAAGAGTCGAGCCGAGTTGAGCATTGGTCTTATCGAGCAAGATTGAGCTCGTTTTTTAGGCTCGAGCTCAACTCGATAAAAAATTACAATACCTCGAGCTCAACTTGAAATCAAAATGCCCGAGCTTGGCTCGAGTTCGACTAAAAAAATTTTAAGTGTAAAGGTAAAATTACCATAAGGACCTATACGAACATATATTATAAGGGGTATTTTAATAATTTAACATGTATCTCGAGCTGCTCGACAAGGCAAAATATGTCTGATCTTACTGCCCAAGTACCCATAATACCCATTCTTGTAGAAGAAAGATGAGGATCATACATCACTACTAAGATTTGCCTAATATAGCTCCACGAGTGCCCGGGCTATCCCGGATTTGTTTGATCTTACTGCCAAGTGCCCAGAATACCCAATCATGTTTTCCAAGTAATTCTGTTATCCGTGTGTTGTTCTTAGCCAACCGTGTACACAATATTATGTATCCCACTGCACATATCTCTATAATCGGTTGTGCTGGCCGCAGCAGGAGTTGTATATTTTGCAAATAAAATAAAATTTATATGAGAAATAAGATAATTGGTTGTAAATATTAGATAAGTTTAATTTGGAATTATTGATATCACATCACTAAAATAAAATTAAAATAAATTGAAATAAACTAATTAATAGTCAATAGAAAAAGTTTGAAAGTTTTAATCAACCTATTTAGATTAATTATTAATATCACATTATATAAAATAAAAATAAAAAGTCTTAAGTACGAAAATTACTAAAAACGTAAAAAAAAAAAAATATATATATAAAATGATGTTTAAAAAAATTTCGTAAACAATAATTAAAGTTATATTATTTCAATAAATAATAATATATTCCTATTCCTATTGTGCCCAAACAACACCCATCAGTTTTCTTATTCCTTTCATAGCCGATAAATCTCGATAAGAATCCCAGGCTTATTGTCTGCAGTTCAAAGTATTCAAATCCTTCAAATCTACTGTGTTGCGGATCTGAACGTTAAAAAAAAAAAAAAAAATAAATAAATTCAATAGAAAGTATTCCTTAGCTTTGTTAGCTGATCGATTAGTACTGTTTCCTCGTACTGCTGTCATCTGGAATACAGTAAATATGGTATGTTACGAATTTTGATGTTTGTTGTTGTTATTGTCGTTGCATAGGTTTTTCGCTGTGATGAAAAGATTTTTTATTTTGTGCCCATCCATGAAAATTTCGGGTCCTTTTATGTATGTCTGTGTTGAATTGCGTGCCCTGATGCTGATGAAAGTAGAGATTTTTGGGATCGTTGTGGTAGTGTTTTTCGTATGTTGTTTAATCTCTTGGCTAGAACTTGAACTGTGGAGTTTATTAGAATTTTAGTTCAGTTAACCTTGATGTCATTTATAGTGATTTTGAGTATTATCTGAGCAGTTGGGTTCCCATCTTGGATGATAATGGTGTCGAAACATTTTCTGAGGCGTAGATGTCGATGAACGTTAGCCGTTGCAAACATACAAGATAAGGAAAATAGAAATAGAATTAAAAAAAAATATATATATTGGATTTTATCTTGTTTGGCATAGTTCATAATCAAAATTTTGGGTCTTGTTATGTTTGTCTGTATTGAATTGTGTTCCTTGACACTGAATAAAGCAATTCATTTTGGGATTATCTGAATGTTGTTTAATGTATGGGCTCACTGAACCTGTGGATTTATTAGACTTGTAGTTCAGTTTCCCTTGAAGTCATCTAGTGATTGTGATTATTATCTGAGTCGTTAGGTTTCCATCTTGGATATTCGTGATTTTGAATGATGAACATTAGTCATTGCGAACATACAAGATAGGGCAAATAGAAATAGAAATAAAAAGAAAAAAAAAACAAGTAAAAAGAACACCAACAACCCTCCCTTTAAGCTTTATTTTGTTTTTCATAGTTCAAAATCATTGATTTGTCTAGCTGATTATATAATTTGGTTCAGGTTGATATATTTTAAGTTTTTTATTTCAGTTTTTCGACGGGTATGGATATCATGGAACATCGTTCGAGCAAACATACCGGTGTTACCCTGCTTCTTTCATAGACAAGGTTTGGTGGCTTCCCTTAGCAACTTTATGATTCTCATAACACTCAATTTTCTGTTTTGATTTTCACTGTGAAGACTCATGAATGGATTTGTCTTACTTCATGAATTTGGATTTATCATTCAATATTTTTATGTTACATGGGTCTGTAATAGTTTATTTGGACATGTTGCAACTTGGTGCATATTTTGGTTGTATGCCTACAAATATCGAGTTTGGCTTAGTTTTGATTATTTTTATTACCATCAATTTTGCAGGCACAGATAGAAAATGGTGACAAAGGTAAGCTTTTTTTTTTTTGGCTATAAATGTAGGGAGTTTATTCTTTCTTCTTTTCATTGTATCTTAATGTTCCTCTACTTGTGTCCAGTTATCATGCCTCCTTCAGCTCTAGATCGTCTTGGTAAGTGACTACGGCCTTTTCTGTTTTGATTATTTTTTATTAATATTCTGTCCTTCTTTGTATTATTTAACTTTGATCTAAAGTTGGTGTTTAACCTTTTCTCATAGCATCACTTCATATTGACTACCCTATGTTGTTTGAGCTCCAAAATACTGCTGCCGAGCGTGTTTCCCATTGTGGGGTTCTTGAGTTCATTGCTGAAGAAGGCATGATATATATGCCTTATTGGGTAAGTTCATTACTGATTTACTTCATTTACTTGAAATAATTTTATTTCATTACTTTATAACAGACGCCATCATTTATCTAATAGATGATGGAGAATCTACTCTTACAAGAAGGAGACTTTGTGCGAGTGAAAAATGTTACCCTCCCAAAGGGCACGTACGTTAAATTGCAGCCACACACTATGGATTTCTTGGATATTTCCAATCCGAAAGCTATGTGAGTGTATTTGAATTTCTTTCCCGCAGAAATTTTTCAGAAGTTAGATATCTCGTTTTTATCTTGTTGAAACTTGGTGAAAAGGGTTGGACAAATTCTACTAGATACATGTAATCTGTAAAATATAAAATGTTTTGATTTTGTTTGGATTTTTTGGTTTGGTATGGTTATTTTTTAAAAAAGTGGTAAGGCTAGTAGTTTGCGAGATTTTGAGTTTATATTACAATAAAATAATTAAAGTTGAATTGATGTAAAAGTAAGAATGAGATGATGTGAAATTATGGTTAGTTAAAAAATTATGCAAGTGGATGAATAGTGAATTAAAGTTGATGAAATGTGTAAGAATGATTGAGTGGTATTATTTGATTATATTGATAATATTGAAGATAACCGGGTTAGGTTAAAGTTGAGTTAGATTTGATTGAGTTAAAATAAAAATGATTATATTATTTTGGAATAATTTGTATCTAAGCATGCACTAATCCGTTTGCCAAAGATCACTTTTTGATGGAAATTTGATCTTATATATAAGTTTCTGGTTGAATAAGCTTTTCGGTTTCGATTTTTTAATTTAAAAATCTTTTTCTGTGCAGCTTGGAGACAACGTTGAGGAACTTTTCTTGCTTAACCACAGGTGATAGCATCATGGTGGCTTATAATAATAAAAAATATTACATAGACATAGTCGAGGCGAAGCCTTCCAATGCGATAAGTATTATTGAAACCGATTGCGAAGTGGACTTTGCTCCTCCTCTTGATTACAAGGAACCGGAAAAACCTACCCTACCTTCTGCAACAGGCAAAGCACCAGTTCAAGGTGCAACTCTTAACTAATTTCTTAACGCCCCCTCATATTTTAGTTACCTTATAAATTTCTATATGCTTTTTTCAAATGTTTCAAACTTCCATGATTTCCAACTGAGATGCCATCAATTAAGGGCATACTTGGATACAAATATATCCGCTCAAAACGATTTTTTATTTTTTTTGTTAACCATGGTTAATTTAAAAAAATTGTATGGTTAGTTGTTAGTGAGGTTTTGAGTTTATACTAAAATAATATTTAAAAATAAAATAATCAAAGTTGATTTGGTTTGGTGAAAAGTAAGAGAGATGATGTGAAGTGATGATTAGTCAATATTTTTTGAGTAGATGAATTGTGAATTCAAGTTGATGTGATGTGTAAGAATAATTGATTAATATTATTTAATTATGTTGATAATATTGAGGATAGTGAGGTTGAGTTTAAGTTGAGTTAGACGTTTTGATGATACCATATTAATACAATTTCTTCATAGATAACTGCTTTTTCGTAAGACCAAAGCTATTTTATATTTCATTTTTTGGTGATAATTTTTTTGTGATATTCCTTTCAACTTCAATTGGATGAACTTATGCTGGAAACCTAAAATCTACATTAAGGGCCTCTACCAAACCATTAGCGTAACTTTTTGGTTGGTTTTTGCAGGCGAAGAACCTTCAGAAGAGACTGAACCTAAATTTAATCCGTTCACTGGTTCGGGGAGGCGTTTGGATGGAAAACCTTTGAAAACACAGCCTCCACCACTTAATTCATCTTCACCCAAAAGCAAAGGCATTAATGCATCCAGTGGAGGATCAGCCGCAGGCTCGAGTTCTGGCTCACAAAGCGGCACCAATCGGCAGTCTCAAGGAAAACTAGTCTTTGGTTCAAATGCCAACCGCCCTAAGGAAACACAAAAGGTGCCCTTTCCATTTCTCTTCTTTTTTTTTTAGCAATGTTTTTTTGTGGGAAAAATCCCTGCGGTAATTCGTCTTATGTGAAGAATACGGAGAATGCTCTTGAAAACATATATTGTGTTTTCACCAGATGGTTGCTTTTATTTCTTTTCTACCTTTTTTGGGTTTGGCAATTACTAATTTAGATTGAACCTTGAGGCTATGATCATAACACATTCTTTGGTTTTTGCATGCCTCTAATTCAGTGCCCTTTGTTATCTATTCTGCAGGAGACTGCAAAAGAGGCGAAGCCAGAGCCTCCGAAGAGTGAGGAGCCGAAATTTCAGGCTTTTACGGGAAAGAAATACTCTTTGAAGGGTTGATTTTAATTGTGGTCTGTGGATATTTTTGTCTATGAACTTATTTCACTCTTATCACTGGAAAACGAGTGAAATCGATTCAACTGAGAATTTGTCGTTTGAAGGAGTTGGAATAGTCTGGTATTTGTTCCGAATTTGGAAGGGATAATTTGTGTGATTGAAACTCTTTCATCTTATCAGTTGGATTGTTTGTTATTGTACTCTCTTGTGGTTTCCACTTCATTTCGATGAATGGATTCTTATAAAATTATGTTTCAACACTTTCATATGATGGAATACACAGTTGAGGTTAAAAGGAAGTCTATATTTACTTGAACCACAATACTTGTATAATTGTATTTATGATTTATACGTGTTGTGTTATATTTACTTGAACCATAAATACTTGTATTTATGATGTCTGTTGAAGTGTGATATTTTTGTTTGAAAACAAAATACAGCTCTATTTATGGTGTTATTAAAGTGTGATATTTTCTACTGAAAGTATGCATATTTTAATCGAAAATACATTTGCCTATCCATTAGGCTGATCTAACACAAGATCCACAAAAGCTACCCAAAATATTGATAGAAGCTATTGATGGCAAATGGGAAAAAAAAATAGTATGAAGGGTAAATAACATGAGAAATGTTCATTAACCCAATATATATGAGGAGACATGTTATTTGAGCCGATCTTAGTGTTTCATATTATAGTCTATACCGGTTTGACTTGGCTCGAGCTCGGACTATTTATATTCATGAAAGTTCCACACATATTGTTTAATAAACTAATAATCGAAAATGATTTGTCCGTGAACACGACACACTTGCTCGCGAACAAAATATGTTTTGTTTAAAATCTATAAGATTATATTTAAAAAATGATTTATTTGCGATTAAGTCTGGCTCAATGTTTTATTTAAAGCTTTACGTTTTCTTTAATAAATTATTCGCAGATTTTTTTTTTTCTAGTTTTGTTAAGGTTATGTTTGGAATAAGCTAGCTTATAGCTTATTTGATTAGTTCATAAATTTCATGTATTTAAATAATTTTCGTTTGGTAGGACGAGTTTTTTTTAGAAAACTCAATTTTATCGCATAAGTTTTTTTGAATAAATTTTCAAAGTCCGTTGAAATTTTTATTTCAGACTGATTAGTCGAGTTTACGAGCTAATTTCACCAAACATACAACCAAGGTTGATCATATATTCAAGCTCGACTCGAAACTCCATACTCCAAATTGGCCATTGCGGTCGTTTTGTTAAATTCATAATCCTTAGTTAGTTGGCTGATATATAAATTTTGCAATAATGTTTGCACTTCTTTCATAAGCCTTCGCATGAAATTTCCATTTTCAACACAGCACTAACTAGGGTTTAGATCTCCTTTACGATTGCGAAATTGGAACTCAATCAATCGATCCGCCAATCGGCTTCGAGAAAACTGCGATGATGCAGCTTTGCAGCGCCGTGGCTCGGAGGATCGCGTCAGCCGGCGAGCGACGGGTGGCTTTATCCTCTCTCTCGTCGTCCATGTCGGCGGCGCCGGAGGCGCCTACACTGTGCGGTCGAGGAGATAAGAAGACCAAAAAAGGGAAGAGATTCAAAGGTTCGTACGGGAATTGCAGGCCGAAAAAGGAACAGAAAATCGAGAGGATAAAGGATAAGGTCGAGGTACCCAGGTCGACTCCATGGCCGCTCCCTTTCAAGCTCATTTGAGCTTATTTTCACGTGATTTTTCTGATGTTTTTGGAGGTGTGTGTGTACATCTTGCTAGCAGTGATGCTTTCTGTTCCAATTGTTTGAGACCTTAGTGCTTCAACATATTGATTGATTTAAAAGAAGAGAAGGCTTTCATGGTGCATCTATGATTTTCCTACTGATTTGATATTGGTTTTGTTATTTAGTGGATCAAATGGAGCAAATATCTTGAGTCGATGTGTTCTCTATCATTGTTTAGCTATTCATTTGAGTTGTAGCCTAGTCTCGAAAATCAGCAGTCAGAAAAATTGATCAAGCTTGATTTGACAAGCTAAGAAAATCTGCTCATGTGGTCTATTAGAAACATAAACACACTTCTGTGTTGTATGTCCCGTTTTTGGGTTCGAATGCTGTTTGCATGATCATATCTTATAATCAAATATATTTAGCATTCGGAACAAAAGGGATAGCGGGTAGCTGGATTTGGAATTGGGAACTTCAATTCGTTTTCATACGGAGCCATTTTCCTTATCATTCTTTTGTGGCATTTTTTTGTGAAAGGTAAGTGATGGTACATTGTCATAATCCGTACATGAATCGATCATTTGAGATAAGTTATATACTTATATAGTAGCTTGCTTGCTTATCTTTTGCGTAGTCTCAAGTACATTAGCATAGGCAAAATGCTACCTTTTGACAATATATATGTGGGCTATCTTATATTTTTAGAATCTAAGAATCCTATTACATGTTGTCGAGCATACCCATAAGCACCAAACATCGTCTAATTTGTAATAGATGTGCAGTTTCAGATGAAATGAGTTATGAGAAACAATTAGATTTTTACTGAGGTGAAGTTCCAATTTGAAAACATATCCATTAGATCCTTGTGGCCAGGTTTTGTAGTTTAAATTTTCGCATCATCCCCTAGTTGTAAAGTCCAAGTTATGCAAGTGGTATTCCGTAGTTTACTTCTTGTTATCTATAAATGTTGCTAGCTTGTTGAGGTCACAAAACATCGATCGAATACTTGCTTTTATCTACAAATGTTGCTAGCTTGTTGAGGTTGCTCAACATCTATCTCAGTTTTTGAATACTTGCTTTTATCTACAAATGTTGCTAGCTTGTTGAGGTTGCTCAACATCTATCTCAGTTTTTCCCTGAAAACATCACGTGTTTTCTTGCCCACGGGGGAGCCAAGATTTGTGATCGGTTCAAACTTTCCAAGAGTTGGCTTTCATTTTAAGATTGTTTCGTACACATCTAATGTTGCCCATGTATGTGAATTTGATTTGCTTTGTTTTATGATGAGTTCCAACATTGAAATAGTATGGAACATACAGTGTCACCATATGAGATGTCTTTTATCCCCTTTCAATTTACTACAAAGTAGGGTTCCTTTGTACTTTCTTATTAATTTAGTGCCTTTGGTGTGTGCCAATTTTTTGAAAGTGCTCCCTTGCGATAATTAACAAACCCCAAATGATATTTGTAAATTCAAAGATTGTTTTCTGTGAGAGATGCATAACAAACTTTATGCTGTATCGAGGCAGTAACAAATTCTCTTATTCTGTCATACAACTAAAACTAAATAGGGGTACCCTTTCTTGCATTTAGACCTGAGCAAAATTCTTTACACAAAATAAATAAATAAATAATAAAAACAAAGAGTCCCAAGAATCCAACGGTCCAACCATTCTATCACATTCATAAATGATCACGTTTAGGAAACAAAGAAACTCTACTCCCTTCAGTCCATAAAACTCGATTTTCGACTACTTCATCTTCCTTTTTTGCAAACAACTAAAATTATGGCCCGGCAGAAGGTCACGAGAAGGACGAAAGGAGTGAGAACATGAATGGGTGCTGCCGATTTCCCAAATCCATGTAATCAAACTCCGCCTGCCTCATTGGCCATGGCTGCAGCTGCATCGTTATACCCTAAACCTTCTCTCAGGAGATTATAACCGTGACTGTTCAACCCACCACCTTCTCCTTGCTGCAACCCCAGTGTAAGCGACACGGGGTCGACACCACCGATTCCCCCAAGCTCAGACATGTTGTAAGCATCACCTGTGGCTGATGACGCGTAAATATTCGGCCCGTTTCTCGTGTTTTTCCTGTCCCGTAATCCCCTTCAAAGGCAGGCATCTCATCTGGGTCCATGGTCTCCCTGTCGTTCATTGAGTCAGTGGGTTTCAATTCCATGGGGCGCGGGCCCGTGGAGTCTGCGTCTGTCCATTGTGTTTGTCTTCTCGGACAAAGAGTTTGAGTCCATGTCGGCATCTCCCTTTTCCTCTTTGTACATCTCCTCGACCATGGGATTCCAGAGGCGGACTCGCGCATTTATGAACCAGTTCGAGACCTATGCCAGTAGAAAAAGAAAGAGAGATCAAAAGACTTGCAGATTTTTCTTCGGTTTGAGATATTCGGTGCAACAAGATTTCGCCGAAGAATTTCCTTAATCATGGTTTTGCACACTAATGGCATGAGTAGGTAGATCAAGAATGAATGTGAATCAATAAAAAAGTTAAAAACTACCAACTCTCCTAGTTTCAATGTAGTTATATTAGTCTCAAGATCTGTTAACAGAAATTAAGGAAAATTAAGGAAAATTAAGTCAACAACGTGAATGTAAGTATGTACTATGTAGATCGAGAATGAATGTGAATCCATAAAAAAGTTAAAAACTACTAACTCTTCTAGTTTCAATGTATTTGTATTAGTCTGAAGCTCTGTTAACAGAAATTAAGGAATCAATAGTCAACAACATAACTACGTTCTACTGTCAAAGGGTGATTGGATATGAATTTGATTGGTTTTTTTGTTAACCATAATTAATTTTGAAAAATGTGGTATGACTAGTTGTCAGTGGAATTGAAGTTTACATTAAACTAATATTTAAAATAAAATAATTCAAGTTGATTTGATGTAAAAGTAGGAAAAAATGATTGGAATTGATGATTCGTTAAAATTATATGAGTGAATGGATGCATAGTGACTTAAAGTTGATGTGATGTGTAATAATGATTGGTTGATATTATTTAATTATATTGATAATGTTGAGGATAATGAAGTTGAGCTAAAATTGAGTTAAATTTGAGTTTTGATGGGTTTTAATTCAATACCAGGGGGTGAATATTAGAAAATGTAACTAACTAATACCACACACACACACACATATACATAGAATGCAACAAATTTTGTATTTTGAAAGTAATCCAATCTATTTTTCACCTGACTTCTTGTTAATCCTGTCTGTCTAGCCAGCATAAGCTTTTCAAAATCCTTTTGATTCCTGCATTTTACCAATACAACCACCAACAAAAAATTTTACAACATTCGATAAAATTACGCCTAATATTCACAATCAATCGAGAGAATCTCATGAATCACTTACGGGTGAAGAAAGTGCTCGAAAAGCCAGGCCCGCAAGATGGAAACCAATGTCTCGGGAAGGCCTCGTTGGGTCCTAATAATTGTAAGCAGCCAATCAGATTACCATCATCCTCTAAAGTCCCACTCATTCTCAATTTCCCAAATCAAAAGAATCTTCCCCAATAATCCCTGCAGATTCATCCTTGCAGAAACTGCAATCGTCACTCAGATTCAGTTTTGAACTCAACAAGGAATCGACCCTTTCCTCCAGCCACCTCAATCTTCTTTCCAAACTCAGCACTGCTGTATGCATGACCCTAGCTTCAACTCGGGCAACCTTAGCACAAGAACGGAGTAAAATGTAGTAATCGGCATGGACAGCATAGATAAGCACTTCTTTCCTTTTCCTCGCATAATGGACATAGTCTGGGTTCTTAACATTGACCCTTGGGGGAATATATGTAAATTTGTTTTCGTCCATGTCCAGCTGTAGTTGCCTTATTGCTTTGTCTTTTGTGGACTGTTTTGGATCACCATGAAGATAAGTATCGGCTTTTTCTGGTGTGGTATTGGAAGTGTCTTGGCCCCCTTCAGTTTTTTTATTATCATCTTCTCGAGTATCTAGTGTTCCAGTGTCCTGTAAATAGGATAATGTTAATATTAAAGATAAAAACTCAGTTTCAAAAAATCTAGACGAGAGTCTTCACAATAGTTTGGAATTTTTGTAAAGCATGATAATAATGCAAAATTATTCGAGAATCGCCCATAATTATGGTCCAAACACAAAGATAGATACAAAATGGAAAGTTCTCGACCAACAAACAACTTAGGGCGTGCTTGTTTATAAATAAATCCGCCCAAAATGAGTTTTTTTGGATAACTATGGTTATTTTTTAAAAATGTGGTATGGATAGTTGTTAGTAGAATTTTTAAGTTTATATTTTATATGAAAATAAAAAAATTAAATTTTTTTTGATGTTGATGTAAAAGAAGGTAAGAAGTTATGTGAAGTGATGGTTAGTTAAAATTATGTGAGTGGAGTGAATTAAAGTTGATTTGATGTGTAAGAGTGATCGGTTGGTATTATTTAATTATATTGATAATATTAAGGATAGTGGAGTTAAGTTAAAATTGAATTAGATTTTGAGTATGAATCGGATGTGAAATTAAATTAAATATTTGGTAAACAAATACATGAAGGAATAAGATGATGGTGATGTCTATTCAAGCGTCTCAAAAACATAGTATGAATCGACCTAAGGTACCTTGTTATTCATATAAAAATCCCACAAATCCTTCACCAGCTTTTCTTCTTCAATATCCTCAAAAGACGGCTGAAATCCAGAAAACACCACGTCCTTACAGTAACTGAGGTATGACAGCAAGTCATTGGAATATGCTGCATTCAAAACACGGGTAAATAAGTCAAAAGCTCAGTCAACTCAACTCATACATCCCACATAAAAATAATATAATAATAAAAATAATAAAAATAATAATAATAATAATAATAATAATAATAATAATAATAATAATAATAGTTATCAAACAACTTATCCCAAATAAATACTAAAAGAGTACCATGCACACTATCAAGCTCATCATATTTTGCTTCAAACAGACTTAGCAGCTTCTTATCATTCAATCCAGAAGGCTCTAATGTATCAGAACGCGAAACTCCATTTTTGACCTTTTTCTTTGATGACGAACAACCGGCATCATCAGGCAAACTTGATTCCCACACTCCATACCCATTAATGTTGAAAAGAATCCTTAATGTAACAACAAGGATTGACATGACACATGCACGAGTGGGAATTCGAAACTCGTTCGCTGAAAGATATAATTCAGATGGCAAAGACCATTCACACACACGGCATGCAGATGGAAGTATTTCCTCTACAGGGAGAGATAACTCTTTAAGATAACGCGAAGCAATAGCATAAAAGTTCACCGGAGGCAAATCCAAACCGATTTTCTGTGCAATTCCAGCCGCCATCGACTCGAGTCTTTGAGATGAGATAATCCGTACGGGCCGGAACATGACACTTGCACGAATCGGGCACGCCTCGGAAGTGGGCCCCATCTGCTTCTCTATTTCTCGAAAAGCAGCAAAATATGGTAATTTTCCCTCGACAGCCCACCTCACGATGTCTGATGGAGTTATGGGCTCACGAGCAATAAGGCAAGCAAGGAATGAAATAGCTAAGGTACAAGGTATGGCTATTGTGTTTCTGAGGGAACTCTGCCATATTTCCACCACTCTTTTCCCATGAATGTTTACAGGCTCATCATGGTTTGAGGCACTGGGCTGAATTTCATCGACTTCCCCTGGAAAAATGGGATGTGGGGAAAGGTAAGTTAAATAGCATTCCATAAGAGAAAAATGACTTGAAATCGAGATTGTAGAGAGTGTGTGTGTCACTAAGAAATTCCACAGATTATTATTGTAATTATAACGTAGATTTTTCTAGTGGTTCTACTTTATACTTTTTTGAAATGTGCATATCCTTCGGCTAACAATTAAGTTTCAATGCAGAATCAAAATCTTCTGAGAAATTTTCCAATGACATAAATGAAATAGTTATGAAAAAATCAGTCTTCAAATTTAATAACTGAACTGTAGTAGATAATCTAGTATGGTTCTCCCAATTCAAACCACTTACATACCATTATACACTTCGAATTCACTAACACTAACATATGCTTCGTTTGCATTTTGAATAATGACGGAAATACTACTTATTATCACACTCTGAACTTTGACAACAAGTAGATAATCTGGAATTTTCCAATGACCTAAATGAAATAGTTATGAAAAGTTCAGCCCTTCAAATTTAATAACTGAACTCTAGTAGATAATCTAGTATGTTTCTCCCAATTCAAACCCACTTACATACCATTATGCACCTCCAATTCACTAACACTAACATATTTGCAATTTGAGTTATGACTAAAATATCAAGTACAATCATACTCAAAACTTTGATAACACGGGTCTTAGCTAACATCAGCAGGGAAAAGTAAGTGGAAAATAGGTGTTGTGATCTAAACAAAGTAATAAGTAAGGACAAGTAAAAAAAAAAAAGATCCCTTTGAATTTCGTAAAGGAAAAAAAAAAGTGTCAGGCGCACCTTGTGGCTGAGACTCAGAATCATGAACAGCCCGGTCGGCCCATTCATCAGCCATAATGCCAGTAGAAGCCAAGTACCTCAGCCACAGAGGCCCAATAAGCCCAACAATCAAAGGGCTGACACTAAACTCCTCAACCAAAGCCTTGCACTGCAATTGAATCATAATCTGAATCCCAGCCAAGTATCTTGACCTAATCTCTAAATAATATTCCTCATAGCTAATATTCTTTTTAGACGAACCAAAGTCATTGGGCTCGGTCGGCCCAACTCCATCGTCGTAACCCACATCCCCCAAGTCATCCATGGGAACATCAATATGGTCCAAATACTGTGAAGTGTCGAGTTTTACCTCGGGCTCGGGCTTGGGCTCGACAGCATCATCGGGCTTGGCCCGGCGGGCCCGAGTGTAAGTGGAGGAGTAATTGGAGAAAAGTTGGTCCTCATCGACCCCAGTGTCCACAATATCATCTGCCTGAGAGTTGCAATAGCCACAGTAGAAAAAGCCATCATCGAACATGGTGAAACCAATGTCGCTGCCGCATATCTGGCAATTACGGCTCACCCTACCCGCCATTAAACCTGCTCAAAAAATGGAAAAACAACAATAATAATACTAATAAAAAGGGAAAATTGCAAGGATAAAGATAATAATTCTAGGATACAGTTCTTAAAACTGCTTTGTTCGATGCTATTTCCATATATTCGCTACATAATTTGCAGATTCACAAAACACGCACTTCCGTACTCGTTCAGAAGATTGCAGAGCTGAGCTACGAGAGGATTTGGCAGTGATCTGAGGGCTGATGCAAGCTGTGGACATTCGCATAAAAGTTTGATTTTTGAATAATGTAATTCAAAATTGAAAACTTTACTGTAATTGTAAGTTGAAACTTGTAATGTTGTGTCTATACAAGTCAAAACGGGGCGGTGGGCCGGGCCAATCCGCAAACCGCCAAAACCCGCCGTTTGACAGGGCGGACGGGCCTCTATACGGCCAGCTCAGCCCAAACCCGCCACGGACCGTTGGCCAGGCGGTATGGCAGGCCGAAATTGAGGGAAACAAGAGGGCTAATTAAATTCAGGGTTCAGCCATCAGATTACCTGCCTCGCCGCTCGATGTCGGGATCACTCTGTGTGCCGTGCCGCCACCTCGCCGCTCGTCGGTCTCGCTCGCCGTGCAGCCGCCTCAACACTCGCCGCACGCAGTCGCCGCCCACCGTGTTAAGCAATGAAAAATTGACAGAAATTGAAAACGTGTGTTAAGCAATTTTTAGTTGAGGGAAATATATAAATTTGTTGGGCCTAGTTCACCTACTTGATTTTGGGCCTAATAAATTGCCTGACCTCTGACTTTTAACTAGTTGGGGCAGCCCATTATATACTTCTTGGACTTTTTAAAATTTGTTGCCAACTAAAAAAAATACATAATTTTTTTACATAATATAATATTGTGAAAGATGCTACGAAACCATTCCGTTTAGGTTTGTAACCATTAGATCAATTACGTTTACAAGATGATCTAACAATTACAAACTCGACAAAATAGTTTTATAACCGGAGCTTAGCATTTCCCTAATATATTTTATTATTTAATTATTTTTGTTTAAGTGGATCATAATTCTCAGTATTGGGTAAAAAAATATTAAAATCAAAATTTCAACTTTCAGATTATGAATGTTAAATATAAGTAAATTATTTATTCAGACAAATTAATTCAAATTCTGAAATAGTCATATAATATTAAGCACAACGGTACGCGAAAATATATTAAGCAAAAAAAAAAAACGATTTCCCCTTTCCCAATTCCTCAGTTTCATCTTTCTCCTGCGAAAATAGAAACAGCCATTCATTTAAAAAAAAAATAAAAAATTAAGCCACAAATCCAGAATTTCTTCAAACGCTCATCCATTAAATTGGTTCTGCACTATAATTTTAATTTTTTTTTTCTGCTCGTATATTCATACAAATCGAGAGACGTTGATTGTTTCGTGAATGGAAGCCATCAGAAAACAAGCTTCGAGGCTTCGAGAACAGGTCGCCAGGCAACAGCAGGTACTCTCTCTCTCTCTCTCTCTCTCTCTCTCTCTCTCTCTCTCTCTCTCTTGTTCGTCTCTTTCTCTGTGTCCGTATAATTTCTGTATGAATTCGGATTTACGTCTGAAGTCTGAACTGAGGTCGGATCAGTGACGAAGTATGAATATCGCGATGCTTCAGATCTGCTTGATTATTGATCTCTCGTGTGTTTTTTCGAACTCTCGACATTCATTGATTTCTTCTTTTTTTCTGCATTTCGATTTTGCATTTAGTTGCATTGTGTTTGTGTACATTCGAATGTATTAAGGTTCCTGTAGCTTAAATTCTGCTTGTATGGATGACAATAGATATTCAAATAATAATCGTGGTGATTATTTTGGTGATTGTTGTTGGTAGTGTAATTGTTCCTCTCATTATCCGTTTTGTATCCGAAAAATCTGGAGCTTAATCTGAGCTGAAAGTGAGGTGTGCTGCTAATATATGTGCAAAATTCTAAATCTCTGCCTGTATTTTGATACCTGGAGCTGGATTTGTTTGATAGAAAAATTATTCACTGCCTCTCACATACTTTTAGATTGAATTTTATGTTGCTTTTTACTGCTCGGTAGCAGCTGCTTAATCTGTTGTTTTTTGTTACTTTATTATGTGTTTTAAATATCCTTTTATCTTTGAAATTGTTGTGATATTATTATATATGGTTTGATGCAGGCTGTTCTTAAGCAGTTTGGTGGGTATGGAGCTTCCGATGTAGTAGCAGATGATGCTGAGCTCCTGCAGCACCAGAAACTTGAAAAATTATTCATATCTACTCGTTCTGCCAAGGTCAACTTGCCCATTTAAAGCTCATTTGTGCATATTTGATATGTGTGTACATGATTTATGAGTTTTGTTTCTAGGTTTGGTTAGTTAATCATTTTGCATGTCTAGATTATCTCTTATTTGTAGGTCATTATTGTAATTCGACATTTTCGGTCTTACTTTTTTCAGCATTTCCAAAGGGACATTGTTCGAGGTGTTGAAGGTTACATAGTTACGGGGTCCAAACAAGTCGAGATAGGTTAATAGCTGAACATTGCAAGTGACTTTATTTATGTAATATATAGATAAATGACGTGTAGCGGATGTTGATTCATTGTGCATCCTCTTCTCCTTCAGGAACTAAATTGTCAGAAGATAGCAGGAAATATGGAGTTGAAAATACATGTACCAGTGGTAGTACATTGTCAAAAGCTGCATCAAATTTTGCACGAGCTCGTGCTCAAATGGAGAAAGAACGTGGAAACCTGCTAAAAGCCTTTGGCACACAGGTTACTATTGTATTTTCAAGCTTTTAAAGAGTCCTGATTGATCTTTAGTTATCACGACCTTACGTTTTTATTTTGTGGAACATCGGGGAACATTCTGTAATGACTAAATATTCAGGGTTGGCTTAAGTGATCGTGCTGTTTTAATCATTAATCGGACTTGCATTGTCTAGATAACTTGCGAGCCGCAGCTGTTAGTTTTATATTTGTTGGATATATACATTTCTTCACTTACCATACCAAGTTTACATCTTACTATCATTTGATTCAAATTTTTCTTGCACCAACATAGATATATAGACACACAAATGCATTTGTATTTGCTCTGGCTAGGTTGGTTAATTACTTGTAGCTTGAAAACATTGTTTCATTAGGAAATATTGTCAGGGTACTCTTTAGATTAAATCTTGAAAACTAGAAAGAAAATGTTTAGATTTTCTTTACAGCAGGCAGCTCTTACCTTTTTTTAGTTATATGTCTCTTCTAGCAGACTTTTTGAATGTTTCCTGTCGGTTTTATGATTCCTCTGCTATACCTTCTTACTGTCACGTATCGGGTTAGATATTTATAGTTTACTGAACAAGTTTTATGGGTTTTACTGAGTGCTTTCAACTGGTATGTGTACCAAAACTACGTTATGCTAGGCATTACGCTGGCTAGATTTAACTGTTACTTCAGGATGATTGTAACCTCTAATTAATAATGTTAAAACTAGACAACTTGACGTGTTTCCAGCTTTTCATTGT